GTTAGTTACACGAATTCAGTTATGGGATGAAATCGGATAGAGATGAAATTGTTTAGGGATGAACGAGTTTAAGAGTTTTAAGAGTTTAAGAGTTTTAAGAGTTTAAGAGTTTTTAAGAGTTTTAGCCAAATGCTTTATAATATAGTATAGATTATTTAATAATTTAATTTAATAATATCTCATAGTATTTTAACTTTAAAACATAATTATTTTTTTTATAACAAAAAACAAATATTTATCTTAACAAACAAATTTTAATATATAATTATCTCATGTTAACAATACTTAAAATACTTTGAATGAAGAGAGTTTAGAAAAAAAATTAGAGTAAATGACGCTTTTGGTCCATGTAGTTTGTTCAAAAGCTGATTTTTCCCTTCTAACAAATGCTAGCTAACGATGTTAATTTCAAGCACCATGAGTGTTATAAAATTGAAATGTTTTTTTTTTTTGATTAACTTGGATATCCAACCTGCTATGCGAGCCGACTAATTCCAGGGCGACCATCTGCTTTGCAGAAAGCCCGGAGTTCTCGCATTTGAACCTCTGTGACCACAAGAAGATTTTTATTCCTCCTTGGATTTGAACCTGGGACCTCCTAGTACTTTTGACCTTTGGAACCAAGTTCAAACCAATCAGGCACTACGTGTTGATAGTATGTTATATTTATTTTTTCTATTGACTTTATAATTTTTATAGGTCCTTTCTTTACCATGAAGGGAATGGTAGTTAACACGTGGTGTACTTAGTGAATAGAAAAAGTGAATTGAGATTTATAATATGCATAACAATAAATTGAAAACTAAAACCACGCATTCAATACGATTCACACGGAAACAATGAAAAAGGGGAAGAGTGCATGTTATGTTAGGCATAGATTGGTGGCTAATTATGGATCAAAGAAATGGTTTTTTTTTAACTTTAAAAGAGCAACCCAAAGAATTATGATAGCTACTAATAAAGTAGAACCTTTATTGGTCAATAAATAAGGGTAAAAAAAGAGAGGAGTGAGAATGGAGGCATGGTGTCACCGGTACAATCAGTCATTGGTACAGTTTGGTAGTGATGGATCCATAAATTTTTCGAAACAAATATACCTTTAAGATGAATCAGTGATTCGTAAAATTACGGTTTGACATGCGGGAAAGTCAATGGGTTTTTTTTTTTTTTTTTGATTAGCCTAGATATCCAACCCGCTATGCAAGCCAACTAATCCCAGGACGACCACATGCTTTACATATAGCCTGCAGTCACCGCATTTGAACCTCCGTGGCGACAAGGGGATTTTTATTTCTCTTTGGATTTGAACCTGTGACCTCCAGATACTTTGGAGCCAAGCTCAAACCAATCAGGCACCACCCTTGTGGTTATCAATGAGGTTTGATACATTGACCGAAAGAAGAGTCAATTGTGTCGATTCAGGGAACAAAATATTTTTTTCCAAATGAAATCATAAATAAATGTTGCTTGAAAATGCAATAGAAAGCAACGAATTTTAAGATGAGTTGGCATCGAAAAAGTAAAAAAAAAAATCATGGAAAAAATAATAATAATAAATACTAAAAGATAAAAATTAAATTTTTACTTAAGATAAGATTTAAACTCATAACTTCTTGCACATAAAGAGTAATTTTTGTTATAAATTTGGTTTAAAAATATTTAAAAACGCCCCTCAAAATCAATCGGACACGCCTTTCAAGCGCCTAACCTTTTTTAATTTGCACAGAAGGCCCACTCCGTTCTTAATAGGTTCGCCCCCTAGTGGCGGTGGCGGTGGCGGTGGCAGTGGTGATGGTGGTGGTGGAAGAGAGAAACCTACTCCATGATGTTCAAAGGACCACGAAATTAAACAGTAATAAAAGGGATGAAAAGAGCTAAATCATCACCGACAAACACACCATTCTCAGAAATCATCTCATCAAAGCTGGCCTTTTCCTTTCCTTATGTGTGTTAATGGGTACACTTGTTGTTGGTTTTTTTCCAGAAAATAGGGGAGTTGTTGGCATATCAATAAATTATTGGCTTGCTTTTCAGTACTACCTCAATACCAACGGTTAGAGCTGCAAAGAAAGAGGGAGGGTGGTAAGCTACTTAAGTGTTATTGGCTGACCTCACATGGGACCTTCATCGCCTCCAAACACATGGGTAGCAAGGACAATAGTATCTATCAACTCAAGGAACAAACCATAGATTCACCAAAATTTGTCACTTTAACAATTTGCTAAATCTGAATTTTATATTCATAAACAAGTTCTTAAGATGATATAATTTGGGTAACCATGAGTTTTGGGCCGGTTTGCATGCCTACTAATCCCGCTTAGTTATTGCATTGCAGGTGAACTTCCATGACCACAAGGGATTTGGTAGCACGAACCTAGGGTAAATGAGATTTTCACTACATCTTTGGCTTAACCAGTTTGCCACAACCGAAGTGGTTACTAAGGTGATGTTTGCGAAATGCTAACGTGGAAGTGCCACATACGCAACTTGTGAAAATGTTATTTACCCAACTTGCTAAAGTGTCGCAAATGGCATTTAAAGTGTTGCTTTATGAATGTTAAATTCATCAAAAGTAAAATTTGTAAGTTACTAAGGTGTTATTTTCTAAATTTCGATCAACCAAGTAAAAGACGCAACTATAAAATGAATTTGGGGGGAGGGGGTGTTCCGGAATGATTATTTTGGATAAACGTATGTGAGTTTTATCATATATATAGGATAGGGTTCTACTGAGAATTAAATTTATGATAAGAAGGGTAAGAAAGATGTACGCTCTTGAATAAATCCTAATTGAAGAGAATCACTAAATCAATTCTAATGAGATACACTTGATCAGTTTCTTTCTAAAGCGCAATTCATAGGTTGTTTTGGGATTTAAAGTGATCAAGATTCCAAATCCCTTCTTATATACTACTCATTTTAGCTCCTATTATCACACAAATCTTTCATCTATAATATATATATATATATATATATATATATATATATATATATATATATTACAAAGAAGAAAAAGGGAAAAACGCACCACATCGACTGACTCATGGCTTACTAGGCTTTTCCTAACACGTACTTTCCGATTGTTTCCATATCTCACCATGAACCAACTTCACCAAGTCTACAAAACTGAGGACTAGATTACCAAACCTGCTAATAAATACCATAATTTATTCATTATTGAATCAACCATTTACTACTCATCAAATTTTACCCCATTTGCTTCCAAGACCTCCTCTAGACTAGACCCAATAACAATATTACTTATAGTCTTCAAGACAACAACAAATCCATCCTTCTTCCTCGAATTCTAGACGCAAAGAAAAGACAAAACTTTGTGAACTCAAAGTGGTATCTCCCTCCCGACACCAACTCCGTACCTGATCTTATTGATTAAGCTTCACTCAGCTGGCCCCTTTATATTCCCCCAAGGGTTTCCCTAGTTTCCAGCTGCTTAGTTTAATCTCATTTCATCTCTTCCTTCTGACAGAGAAGTGGCACATCAACTAGTATACAAATGGTACAAACCAAGAAGTTCAGAGGCGTCCGCCAACGCCACTGGGGATCTTGGGTTGCCGAGATTCGCCACCCCTTACTGTATATATCCCCATTTCCATTCACTCGATCACACACTTACACACACACTCTGTGTGTGTGCATATATATATATATAACTATATAACACACAAAGAGAGGATGTATGTCTTTTGATTTATAGGTGATTCTAATATGTTTTATGTATGTAGGAAGAGAAGGGTGTGGCTCGGCACGTTTGAAACAGCAGAAGAAGCTGCTAGAGCGTATGATGAGGCTGCTATTCTAATGAGCGGTAGAAATGCCAAGACTAATTTCCCGGTGGTTAAAGCGCAAACATCTGGGGATACTAGTGACGCCACCGCCACAGCCACCACCACCACCACCACCACCTCTCCACCCTCATCCACTGGTCTATCGGCTATACTAAGTGCGAAACTACGCAAGTGTTGCAAGTCACCTTCACCGTCTCTCACCTGTCTCAGGCTTGACACAGAGAGTTCTCACATTGGGGTATGGCAAAAAAGGGCTGGTGTTCATTCAGAATCTAATTGGGTCATGACAGTGGAGCTTGGGAAGAATAATTATAATAACAGTAACAATAACGAGAGGGAGATCGATAGAGAACCTGAAGTTGAAACTCCGATGGCAGCGGATACGCCAGAGATGGTGTCATCCTTTCCCGAAAGAGATGGGATCATGAGTCTCTGTGGTCCTAATGCTGGTGATGAAGAGGATGCAATTGCATTGCAAATGATTGAGGAACTCCTCAACACAAATTGATCGTAGACCCGCCAACTCTGACAGAAAGATACTGTAATCTCCCAAAAGAGTGGGAGCCATCCTTCGAGCTTCCACGTCAACTCAGTAGTACCATTCATCACTCTCTATCTGGTTCATGATTATTTTATATAATATCTTGCAGAATTCTACTTAATTTTGCAATAAGAAATGATATCGAAAAGTTTCCACGTACAAAACATGTGTATTTGTGTGTGTATATGCAGTTGCCTAAAACTCATGACTAAAGTTGCAGTCACGGTTGTACCAGAGGGAAAGAGGGTAAAAGTGTAAATTAACAATTATTATTCGTTGATCTAGTATTCCCATGCTTTAATTTCAACTCTTCAAGTGTTCTAAATATGTAAAAGAATTAAGAATGTGCAGGAACTGAAAACAAGTTCATTTTCTCTTATATTTACCAAAAAAATAGAGAAATAAATCCAAGTGTTTTAGTCATTTAACAAGGGAACAGCAATCTGTCGACTGTTTATCCTTTCATCCAAAAAGAGTTAGTTACAATAGGCAAATTCATCCATGTTGCACAGATTGACAAGAAAACCAATAGGACAACACAATCATACATTTGACTTATTAGGTAACCGAGGTTAGGCACATAAAAGATCAACTAAATGCAATAACGTTGTCACGAGGATTTATTTATAGTTATCTAGTAATGGACATATGGATCCTTGCTGCCCTATTAATTGGTATTCCAGACTACACAATAAGTATTAATATTGTGAGAAAACTATAATAAATTGATAAAGACAGTACCATAGAGCACTATTAAGGAAAACAAGTCATCATCATTAAGATTTCTAACATAATACTGTAGAGTAGTGGCCGGTATAATGGCCCCAGAAACAAATGGCAATTTTCTGTATTCATAGTGAACTCAGAATTTGGATGGAAATGGCAATTTTTCTGTATTCAGATCAGTGACCATCCAGATTACAACTTCAACACATAGGAGTCCAAAAGAAAATGAGCTTGAAAGAGTTGATGAGCCAACCATAAAATGGAAAAATGGCAAAAAAAAACACAAGAGGGCCCCAAAACACGTTTAACCGATGTTTTTAGGCCTAAAAAACCCTGTACGCCCCTTTGGGTCTTACCCATGGCGTGCTCCTCATTCTAAGTTTCAGACCGGCATATTGTGGGCCTGAAACGGAGACCCTGAACGAACGTTATGCACTTTTAAGCATGACACCCCCTGTTGACCCGGTCATGGGCTCCAAGGAACACTGACTCCTGGTCCTCCATATCACATGTGGATTTCACAAACATGTTCTTCAGGATTAGTCCTGAAACTGTAGAACTTCAACGAGAACGTGGGCCGACTCATTGGCTTAATTGAGATCAGGTAGCTCAAAAGTTCCCATCTCGGATTTTTGGTATTAAGACTGATGCCTCCACGACATTTATGTTGTAAGAATCAAAGCCTAATGTCAATTCAGAATGGGTAGAAAGAGAATTTCTGCTTCTGAAAATGAGAGAGCTTTTGAAAACAAAGAAAGCTCAAGTGATGCTAAACACCAATCCATAAAGGAAGAATTTTTCTTGAATTCTCTTTCAGTGTTTGTGAAAAACATAAAACCAAACAAACCTAAATCTCACCAGAGCGGTTGTGAAAAACATAACAGTTAATATCTTTATTTTATATATTTTGAAAATTCAGGAAGATTTAATAATTAGCCACAAGGAGTAGGTGGTTAATATTTTGTAAGGAAGTGGCCCTTAAGTGTCGATTCTTCTTTAAATTTTTGCTCAAGAGTCAAGACATGATACTTATGCTGGGTCCAGTTCTGTCTAATTAGATCCAACATACTCATAATCAATTTTCACAACAATCACTAATAAATGAGAGTGCATCAAAACGCAAATAAAACTTGTACAGACAAACTAAAATACCCAACTATTATGAACAATGTTAATTTGGGGGCATAGACACGGTGTTGATCTATCTGAACCTTGAGCTTTCTTTGCCCTTTTAGTATACAGTTGTATAGATCTACAGATCTCAGATGCAAACTGAATCATACTTTATATTCTTCAACTGGTCCCCCAAGTGCTACTTAAATCTATCAACATGACCTTTCTATTCAACATCTTCATTTCATACTGGCCTTGTCATTTTCCAGTGACTTATTGGCCTCAAATTCAGTGACTTTAAACTACACAAAATAAATTAACGCTAATAAGAATAACTTGTTGTAGTTTAAGGGTGCTGCACAAAACTGGGCTAAGCGACCTCGTGTAACTATCGAAATAGAAACTTCAAGTGGCGTAACAGGGAATAGAAATGCAAGATACATGTCTGGGGATGTAACAAAACAAGCTCTGACGCATACACTTGCACCTGAGCCTAGAACTGAATCAAAGTGGTGTTAACATTCATATTTTTACTTTCAGTACTTTATTATAATGAAATGGTCATGGTTATTTATGGGCCAAAATTTGTTATATTTTGTATTCTAAGAAGTGGGCTGGGATTTTTATTCCTTTATTTAGTCCCAAGTGAGTATTATATGAATATGATTTAATCCCTTAGTCCAGTCAGTATGAAGACTGAAAGAGAGACATTTAGGGGTTGTTTGGTTGGTTTTCCATTTAGTCATGTATGAACAAAGTTGTCTATGTGGATTAATCTATTTGGTATAGATCGGGAAGTTTTTTGTTTGGCAGGGCTTTTTCATAGATGGAGAGAGCGTATTTTTCATTGGAGGGGCTGGCTTGGAAATTTTTTGGCTTTCTGCATTAAGCTCCGTTTTAGAAGCTTACTAAATAAGCCAGTTTCTATATCATTAAGCCACTACTGAATAGTCATGTATAGCTGGCCGAATAAGATGTAATTCTCATTAAGTTCATTAAGTTGCTAACAAACAGGCCCTGAGTCTCTCCTTGAGAGAAGTAGAAAATGATTTCTAGAGAAATAAAGCTGAAATTGGAGCAATCTTTAGAAAAACTGCAAGGAACGGAAGTGAACTCAAGTTGGGTTATCAGCTACGGATTGGAAGAAATCTAGGATATGAGCAAGACCCAAAAGAAACCAAAGCTCAGTGAGGATTTTCGACTTCTAGTTGCCACATTTTGAGTTTCTATGATGCTTTTGTGTTTGTCTATAATTCCAATGTTTATGCATGTTTGTACAAAATCGATGTTAGAAAGCATGAACATAGTTCGTACGGTAAGAAATTGAATTTATTCAGTATTGGTTGTCGTATGGAATATGTATAGAAATGGATCATTGTTTATACAAGATGCGAGCCGGTTCTAAGGCCACAAGGGACAATACAAAATGGACCAAGCTGGATTTATGTCCAGGATAAATGTGAGCAAGTTTAAAGGCTGCATGAAAAGAAACCACATTGCAATATTGTGGAAGAACCCCAAGTAAGAATATGTTTACTAAGAAATGTTTTTATGTATATATTTTTACTTGGAAGAAATTTTTTACATTGTTCCCCTAGAAGATATTTGCTTAACAAAATCATTAACTCGCTATGCTTTACCTTACATGCATTGTGATGCATATCCCAGGTAGACAGATTGCTGAAGCAGGCAATAAAGGAAAATAGAAGTTGGAATATGTTAGGAAATTGTATTTCCTTGGCGTATGTATAAGATGTCCAGAACCTATGTACAAGATTGACACTTGTATATTTCATATATGCATGTTTCAGACATGGAATACTACAAATGCATGAGCTAGAGGAATTGTCCTCGTGAAAGTTTCACAACTTGATTCTCGGCTTTTCATCGCACAAGATTTGAATAACAAGTTCTTTTGAGTTTAGATATAGTGCGATAGTGCCTGTATACACAGCATTGCAATATGGCACTCACCTAATGACAAGAATTCCTGCTAAACAAAGGATCAATTGCCCATCAATATCCGGGTTACCAGTAGATCCCAACCTCCTTGGAGGTCAATGGTTCAAGCCTCACCAAAGGTGTGGAGTGTGTGTGAGTTTTGCTGTACATAAAGATTATATATTTAATATATCCCGGTCTACATGTGTTCTAGATCTGTGCATACAACCTCATGTATCCCTCTAACTAGTAGCTCTAAAATCCTATAGGTTTAAAAGAAAAGGGTTCTATAAAGAAATGTCATATTGCATTGTTTGCTGGTTTTCCAGGTTAATAGAGGGCTTCGCATGATTTATCGACGTCTCCATTAATACTGTGATCTGATCAGACTACAGTAAATCACAGGAAACAAAGATATCAAAAAAGAAGTTTTTGTCTATGCTGAAGGCATGTTAACCCACCATCTTCCTCCTATGAGCAACGGTGAGTGTCATCTAGATAGAAAAATTTGCGTTTACTCATCTTCCCTTAACAGATATATTTAATTGTAAAAACATCTATATACATCAACCAGACAGCCTTGTCATGAACGTAGCCTTTGTCTCATCTTACATATTATGCCAAACTTGGAGATGAACACTATGAGAAAACAAACCTTAGCATCTACATAATATACCATGCAGAAAATCGACCTATAGTATCAACTTCCCAAAAAATATATAGTGTGGAGAATCGGGGGAATGGACAAATAACCAAACCTGAGAAGTGAAAACATATGAAGAGCTCCAAATCAACCTTGTTTATATAACTATATTTATAAGCCAAAAATGGACTAATGCACATAGAGACCAAGCTGAAAAATCACCCTAATATAATCCAACTCCACCTAGAAGGGAAAAAAACATCTAACGGGGACGTATTAGAGACAACATAAAAGCTACCCCAACTGGTCTTTACATCTAGCAAGTTGCGAGTTGCGACAACATGCAATCATAAATCATGTATAAAATAAACCCAAAAAGGGAAGAAAGAGGATGTTTATTTTATGAATCTGTCTTAGGAATCATCGATCACCATCATTGGTTTATGCAACTTACACAGACAAATAAAAATAATTTCAATCTGATAGCTATGTTTTGGCAGGCATGGTTAGAGTTCTCTAATGACCAAGAAAATGAGACCATTCACATCCCAACGACAAAAAATTTAAGAAGAATATGCTTCGAATATGTTGACTTACCGGTTCTACGGGTTCTTAGTAGCTTGAGGGAGAAGTATGAGCATGGTATGATTCTTGGACAAAAGAATATGCTTTAACAATATCTGGGTCTATAAAGGATGACGACCTTTGGAGCAAAATACCTCCAGAAGAAAACATGAAGTTTGGAAAAACCTTCCGCATTAAGATATCAATTATCATGCCTCAATGGGAAGGTGAGTGCATGTCGTACAAAGACTTAAAAAAGCAGTTGAACCTAGGAGATCCCTTTAGCCGCGACGAGGGTTTCAGACAATTACTCAAGAATGAACTTGAGAAGATCAATGATTTTTTCTTAAGGAAGGAAGGAGAATACATGAGCAGATTCCAGGTACTTGCATCCACTAGAATAGTTTAGGTTTTATGATGAAGATTTTTATGGTGGCAATTGCATCGCATAATACTTGATAGATGATACAAATTGAAGAGATGCAAAAGAAATACATCCYCCCCCCCCCCCCTAAAAAAAAGAACTGGTTTCAAAACATATGATATATTTTATTACGCAAGTAAACATACAGGAGCTGAAAGGCGTGGTAGCAGATATAAATAGCAGTGAAGATACAACACAATTGACAAAGGAACTACTGCAATTCCACAATAAATTGGTTTTGCTTCTTCACTACAATGTCCTCAACTGTGACGGTATACGTTCTTCTCCTTGTTCTGAGCTCATAGAAAGTACCATAGCCATAGTTATTGGTTTCCATGAACTGTACTAAGTATCAACAGAAAAACAGGATTCTTGAAGATCATCAAGAAACACAGGAAGAAAACAGGGAGATCGTTCAGCTTGTCATTTATGGAGGGAGATGATGAGCAACTATACTTCATCGCCCATTCACTCAATGAACTTTTTGCAGAGTGTGAAGAGATTCTAAGACAACTGGTGAGAATACAACGCTCTCGCTTGGGAAATTCCTAGTAAAATAAACTCCACATATTCTGCCCTCTGCACTAGGCAGAAGCAGGGCTGGGTAGTGTGTATGGGAAACACGAAAATGCAGAAATCTCTATATACTTATACCCCGTTAGAATCATGAGTGTCTTGAGGAGTCACATTTCAGTGGATTTAGTGATGAATCTTGGCTATATGGTTCATCCTGGGGGTACAACGAACTTCCAGAATATGTAAAAACAGTCGGTCAAAGTGATTACTTTTAATAAAACTTCACTTCTGAGCTCATTTCTTTCATTAGTTATGCTGTAATTTCAAATATTTTAATATTTTATGGAATGATCTTCTTGGTAAGCTCTTCAAAAAGAGTCTTTGTTTAGTTGTGATATTTTAAACCGGTGTTATAATCCTTTGTTTAAAATTGCTCTTACACACAAGGATTCTGAACTTATTGACAAAACCACATGTACTTATTTGCTCCTATGTTGATGCATGCAACCTCGTACCTAGAAGATAGAACGGATGATGTCAAACCACCAAGTGTTGCTCATAATAATCTTATAAGTTTGTAATTTTCTCCATAAAAGAATACCAGCTTATATTGCTGTATAGTACAAAAGCAATGAATTGCAGTTCAAAATGCATTTGTGGTTGCTTTATGTGGCTTTTGTCAAGCTTTGGCTCTACCATTTCTCTGCCATGATGCGGTTTTGGAAGTCACTTGTAGAAAGCAATTCTTTTTATAAGTTTCATGAATTTTTTATGACCTGACACCATTGAAATTGAATCCTTGAAATCTACAGCCTTTATTACCTGATTTATTACCTAACACCAATAAAGTCCCTAAATATGCAATCTTATTTTGATTATTGAATCCATATGCATCCTTGTTTATATCAAAATCAGGTCAAATCATACATATAGTCTATCATTAATAGAGGGTGTTGTTGGGTACGTATTAAAATCCTCCTCACACACATCAACATCGATAATTCATTCTTATTTTATATGATTTTGATGCACATAGATGTCCATATAGATTTACCCGGCATTGTTGCTATATGCATGCCTATTTACATCAAAATCAGGTCAATGCAAGGTTCTTATAAGCAAAAAGTAAAATGGTCTGTAGGAAATACCATTGTAGAGAGTTCTTATAAGAACCCCAGCTCCTTTGAGTTCTTGTACAAGAACCTTGAAGTTTGTGTGAAGTGACAATTTCATAGTTCTTTTATATATTTTGTCGACTTTAATTATGAATATTATATATAATAGTTATTGATGTCGAAAAAAAATACACTGAAACCTACAAAAAAGAGGTTGTTGTAAGAACCACCATTATGTGAGCTCTTAATTTATGAGTTGGAAGTGAGTTGACAACAAAAAGAGCAAAAATGAGGTTCTTATAAAACGTAATGAGAGATGTTATATGCACCCGGAGATAAATCAAAATCAAGTCAAATCATATATTGAAAATGAAAAAAACAAACTATTGATGTTGATGTGTGTGAGGAGGATATTAGAGCATCTCCAATAGATTCTCAAAAATAGAGAAAATGGAGTTTTTGTTCTCTATATTGCTCCAACAAATTTCGTATCTTATTCTATAAAATAGAGGAAATCTAAAGTAAACTCTAAATATAGAGAATTCTTAAAACTCTCTGGTAAAGATATAGAAATGTTATCTAAATATTTCCCACAATTGAGATTGATTTATTAGTTTTATATAAAGTCCTTTTTTCTAAAAATGTATTGGAATGATAAAATTATAGAATATTTTGCTAATATAATTGAATAAAAAAAATTGAAATAAAAAATCTGTTGAAGTTGAATGTAATGTTTTTAAAGATTTAAACTTTTAGTTCTTTATTTTAAAGAAATTATAGAAAATTTGTAAAGATGCATTTACCCGTCATAACCTCATTGGAGTGCATTTAACCTACCCTATTATTATATAGATGTGCATTTAGGGGCTGTTTGGCAATTACTGAATGGTTTGGTGCAAAATGATTAAGTGGTCAGAATGATTAAGAGGCTATCATGATATAGTGCAAAATGAAATATAATTGTTTGGTAATTGTGTACAATGAAATCAGGGCTCTTAATGGTTAAGGGAGATCCAGGATACAAAATCATTCAGAAGGTTTTAGAACCATTAAGAGGCAGACTTTTTTTTGCCAAACAAGATTCACCTCTTAACGATTCAGAGGTTGCCTCTTAATGGAACTATTAAGAGGTAAACAAACAACCCCTTAGCCTATCTTTATTATAAAGTAATTTATTTGATTTAAATTTTTACAGGTGTTATTGTGTCAGAAATTGATAAAAACGATATTAAACTTTTCCCAACAAGGCAATAATTGTTACAAATTTATAGATAGCTTTAAGCCTTTAACCAGCACAATCTTGGTTTTATGGTTAACCCATTTCGGGCCATCAGACCAAACCCATTCGGGGATTCTTATCAATTGGTTTTATAAACCTTCTTTTTAATACTAATGCTTCATAGCTTACTTGATTTGATCAAACGGCCTCTATATAAATGGAGTGTCTGGCACAATATGACCACTTGCCACAATAGAGTTTGGTATTTTATAAGTAGTAACTGTGCATTTCGGTAAAAATGGCTTCCTGTAAATACCCACAGCTTTGGGGATACTGAAGGTAATTTGACTAGTCCTGCAAAGTGCCAGACCTCAAGAAAACACTATATATCGGTACTTGGTGACGGATTGAAATTAGTGTCTCAGTACACTTGTCTAACCACACAGACTCTTATATCAGTAGATACATCGGTACCTTGATATTAGTTTCTCTATACATGCGCAACGACGCTAATCGGTTCAGGCGAAAAATGATGAAAGCCGTGGGTTTTATTTTGCTATTTGCCCTAATCTCCATATCATCACAAGCAAGATCAATCATCCAAAACCCCCAACCTAACCCTATCTTCAAGCCCAAGACCAACTCTACGAATCATCAGGTGCCAAACTACCAATTCCAGTATCTGTTTTGCGTAAATTCAAAGCAGATTTAACTAACATGTTATGATTTTCGTAGAATGCAAGAACCTGTTCATTCACTGTAGAGATCACGACGAGTTGTTCTTCCGTTCGATACACTCGAGATCAAATCAGTATCTCCTTCGGCGATGCTTACGGCAATCAGGTTCAATTTCTGTCAAAAATTATGTACGAACTCATTTAAATACATCGAGTACATTATCACTCCGATTCCAAAACCGTAGTCCAGGTTTCGAATTTTCAAAAATAACAATTAGAACACGGTGATAACGATAAATGATTAGTAGGTTTACGCACCGAGAATAGACGATCCGTCGATCGGGACATTCGAGCGGTGCTCCGGCGATACGTTTGAGATATACGGTCCATGTACGTATCAGATCTGCTATTTGTACTTGTACAGAAGCGGATACGATGGTTGGAAGCCTGAGAGAGTAGACGTATACGGGTATAATACGAGAGCCGTTTCTTTCTATTATAACGTTTGGATTCCGGCGGATATTTGGTACGGATTTGATTACTGTTCAAGCTACGCGATGCGTTAGTGGCAACGCATCGCGTATTTTTCTAAACATCTTCTTAAATATCGTTTTAAGAAGATTTTTAGAAAGATTAGACGAATATAATGTCACGAGTGAAATAAAACTGTTAGGGATGGTCACAAAATAATTTGTAATGTCGTTGTGTACTTGTTATGGTTTTTTGATCTGGTTGCGGTGTTTTATTATGTTAAATGTTGTTCTTGATGTTTGCGTTGTTCGAATATGGTTAGCGGTAATGTATGGTTCGATTTCGTTTGACATTGGAAGGTTTCGAGTTTACAATGTGGTTTAGATATGAGGAGTGCCGGATCCAGAAAGTCATGTGGTCAAGGACACTTTACGGGTATTAAAAATCTAATGTCGGCTAACTTATTTGAACGGAATGAGATTCGGATCAAATGTTTTTGGGTTATTTGGTATTTTTGAGTTATTTGGGAACTCTTAGTAAGACACTATTAATGACAACAGAGAATGCATAGTATGTAATCGTTAAACTTTGAACATTTACCATTATAGTATGTAATCGTTAAACTTTGAACATTTACCAGTATGTAATTGTTAAACTTTGAACATTTACCATTATAGTATGTAATCGTTAAACTTTGAATATTTTCTATTAATCTATTATAGTTTGTAATCGTTAAACAATATTTGTAACAATTATTCTGTATAATTTGTATTCTTGTTTATTTATTTAGTGTTTTGGCAATGTTTTATTTTTTATTTCTAAATAATAAAATTTTAATATTTTAGGAAGCGGGTACCCGGAACCGGAACCGGAACCGGTTCCCGGCGGTTCCGGTTCCAGTTCCAAAAATTTAAGAACCGCTCTAACCGGTTCCGGTTCCAATATCTCAAGAACCGCCGGTTCCGGTTCATATTAAAAAGGACGGGTACCCGCCTATGCTCACCCCTAACAGAAGATGGTTGGAGTAAATGCGAAATCATCTTTATCTTTATATATAAAAGTAAGATTTATAATAAATGATGTGGCACTTATTATATAAAAATGAATTATATTTACAATCTATCAATATATATAAAAATCAAAATTTATAAAACACTTATTTTGTGCCCACTTAATTGACTTTTTTAACCGTTTTAATAAAATAATGTTTTAAAACAACGTTTACAAGTTAAATTAGAAATATAATTTCTATATACACTCATTATAATAATAAAGCATTGTCAATGGTATTGTGTCATAAATAAATCAATCATCAATATCAATATATGTATATTAAAAAATGGGGTATTCTAACCCCACCCCCTCCTACCCAAAATCCCCACCCCCTCCTACACATAAAGACAAAAAACAACAAAAAGACAAAAGTTAAATATTTACATTTTTAACCTTTTAATATTTTAATTTTTAACCCTAACTTTTTTATATTTTAACTTTTAACCCTTTACTTTTTTAACATGTTTTATATTATTATTAATTAATAAAATATTAATAATACATATTAATAAAATATTAATAATACATATTTCAAATA